AACCGAATGGTGACATGTGGAATTAGGGGTGAGCGAAATTTGACTCGACTTGAAGAACTGATTTTTTCCGACTCGACTCTTGAAAACTTGACTCGAATTAACTTCGAGTTGTAATTTCATAAACCCGACTAGACTATAAAAAAATTTAAGTTCAAACCGAGTTGTAAAATACAACTCGAATAACTCAAAAATTTCAGTAATTAGTAGATTGATTTTCAAGTTTTGGTTGAATCTTTCGACTTTGTATCATAAATATATATCACATATGCAATAAAAATGAAGAAATACACATGTATTGTATATGGTTATAAAAGATCATTTAAATTGGAATCAAATAATATCATAATATTATAAATATTTATAATTAAATTTAAACATAAACTTGAAAATTTGACTCGATTCAACTCGAAAAAATTCTAAGTCAACTTCGAGTTGTAAAATAGGACTCGTCAACTCTAATAACTCAATTTTTTTACTAGACTCGGCTCGATCGAACGCTCACCCCTATGTAGCATGATGTGTGACATCATTTAATTGAAATATTAAATTTATTTTAATTTATTAAAAGTATGACTAAATTGAGAGAATGTGTAAATAACAACGAACAAATGTGTGATTATATCAAAATATTTAACTGCTGTTAACAGCAGTTAACTCGAGATGACCATATCTTAGTTAAATAAAAATGAAAGTGACAATATCTTATGTTTTTTGAAATCAATGATTAAAAATGAACAAAACATAAACGTAAGTGATTTTCCACGTAATTAACCCAAAATTAATTATTATTATTATTATTATTATAAAATATTAAAAATAAACTTATTAATAATATTTAGTAATATAACATAATACTTATTTTTTATATTTAATATTTATAACAAATAATTTCTTAAAAAATTATCTGACAAAAATATTTTATATAATATTATTCAAACATTAAAAATAAATTTTATAAATAATTTTTTAATAAAATTTATTTTATGTAAATAATTGTTTCAAAATTTGTTTCTAATAAACCAAACATACCTTAAATTATAAATGTCTAAAAATGGGAATTAAAAAAAAAAGTTGACTCATGATTTGTGTATTTTACTCTAAATTCAATATTAAAATTATCATAATTACTTCTTCAAAGGAAAACAAAAACAAATAATTATGACGTCATACAAAAAGGCATTCAAATGGAGTACGCATGAAGGTGTCCATAGTTTCTTTTAGACTTTGACGTGTATTTTAGATTGGATTTGGAAAGAGGGATATGCTATCTAAGTCCACGCGCTTTCGGTGAAGCGCGTGTAAGGTGTTAAAAAATGGATGCCAGGGGAAGTTTGATTGGACAACAACGCCAACCGCATGCGAAGCTGTCCGATTCCTCATTTATTTCAACTCATAATTAAGGGTAAATTACTCAAATGACCACTTAATTATGGAGTTGTATCCATATGACCACCATACTTTCAATTTTGACAATATGACCACATAACTATTTAAGTGGTTCTTTACTATTACCACCTTCTACGGTTACAAATTCATCTATTCAAAATGTTAGGTATGACTCATATGGTATGTGATTATTTTGGTAATTGTACCGGGGTTGCTTTTATATTATGTAATTGTAACATAATTATCATGATTATTGCTAATAATAAAAAAACAGTCGCTCATCGCTCCTGATGACGTAGATACCTTGCCGAACCTCGTTAAATCTTGTTTTATTTATTTTCTTTACTGTTCGTATATTTCATGTGTTACTTAACAAGTTAACCTAATTTCCCAACACAAAAGAATTATAAATTCACGCTAATGACCAAAATGAAAATTATATATATATATATATATATATATATATATCATTATTGTTGTACCTCGGTAAAGGTCATCTGCACACATCATTCTTGCACCTTTCAATTACAATTATTGGAGGATCTCAGAGTATATTTAACCTCCTAACATCTTCTGCATCAAAAGAATCTCATAACATATAAAGGGAACGTCTTTAGAGGAAAAATCTTGAATTTCTAATATCCCTCAGAAAATCACAATTTATTAATATGATTTTTGACATGTCCACGTGATCTATCAAATCTAATTTCATCACCAACTATCAGTAGTCTGCTAGCTTACGTGTAACTATTATGACCATACAACTGACACATACATTAAAGATCACTATAAAACCTCTAAACCAAAATCGAGAGACGAGATGTGACCTCAATGAAATTACCTCACCTTTATTCTTCTCTAATCTACCTACCTACAAACAAGAGATCAGGTTAGTGACATTAGTCGAGGATCGACTCCTATGAAGCAGGCCCTCCCCACCTGCCCAGGTTTGGGACCAATGTAGTTACAACAAAAGCAACGACCCAAATACATAGATAAAGAAGTTGGCCAACATCTTTATCATGCATTACTACTACTGCATCATTATCATGGGTGATCGTCACCACTACGATTGCGTGAACAAATGAGATAGCCTCTAAATATGGTTAACTTGCTCACATAAATTTAAGTAAATACCACTTAATTAATTATTGTAGGAGTTTTGTCCTCAACAGCTTCAGAGATAAATTTTAAAAGGAAGGGAGCGTCATCTTGGAAAGTGACATCGTGCCTATGACGATAGAAAATGATCTTTAACCACTCTTCAAAACTTAGTAAACCACACAACTAAATAATTGTCTTGTGGTCCGTAGAAACGAAAGTAACCTCTCTATTAGTTTTACGGACTAGAAGTGATAATTCGGATATTTACATGTTTTACATATATAAATTCCATTCAAATATATTTTAAAGTCTGTTTTGAACAATATTTAATATTTCAGGTATTAAGATACTTGAAATAAACGAAAATGATGAAGAATAAAAGATCTCACATATCCTCAAATTATAACATACCAAGCCAATCACATTGCCACTGACAACGACAAATTATTATAACATATGCCATCCGACATAAAAATAGTTTCTATTCGAATCCCGAATTCAGTAAATGTTGAAAATGCAATGAATATCTCAAGTATAAATTAGCCATGAAATTGAATTATTGAAAGACAAAAAAGATTAATTTGAAATTAGACATCCAACAAATTCAAGAATTTAAAGAATGTAATATCATACAGTTCACTCTATCTTTGAAATCCGAGTTCGATTAATTTACTTCTATGATCATTTTAAAGATCACAGCTTACTTTAACAAGACAGGGTGGTCAGATAAAGCACCAAAGAGTGAAGAAGAAAGAAAGCAATTCATTGCTTCGCTTCATAAACGAACAACTGAGTTGTTCGACTAAAGGAAGAAGATTGAGGTGAACAATTGACGGCGAAAACAAAGTTAGGGTAAAAGAAAGTTGACGGAAAACTTTGGTTAAGTTGAGTAAAATTCATTAATACACATGGCATTAAATTATTGGTGGGGCACATAAAAGGGGCAGAAGATTTTTGTTCTACTCCAAGGCCAAGGGCTTTGCTTCTCTAACTTTGGGAGATCACTCTTAATAGAGTGTTCAGGACGTCGATTCAAGGCCTTTGATCCCCATAGTAATTATCAATTTAACCAGTATAGCCCATCTGACTTGATGGTAAGGAAGTATCATATTCATGCTTGGTTATTGTCCATATTGGTTGGTTTTAATATGTCCTAATTATTTGTATAATTTCAACTTCCAGACATCTAAAGAAAAACACACTTAATGATATGATTAAAACTTCAAATAAAATATACATGGAACCAACAAGCCATCATTCGGATACAGGAATATATTTGTGATAATGCCAGAGCAACTAAAAAATGTAAATAAAAATGAAACTATTTTAACAAAATCTTGAATCAATGCACTGATCAAAGTGTCACTAAGAATTTACAACAATACAATACCAAACTAAATTTGGTCCTAAATAATTTAAAATGCACATTCTTTAAAGAAATTAACAAGTTAATTGAAGATTTTTACAAGGGTTCAAAGTGTATGCAACACTATTAACCTCTAAATGCAGAACAAAATCACTTTCTACCATTTAACATTAGACTACAAGTATCTTTACCATCTAAAAATTACATTCATCACTCAATTAGTTCTTATAATCACTATGAAAATTCAAAGTAAGAAAAAGTTCAGGATCATACAAGGTCAGTAGCTAAATATATATCAAGTAAATTAGGAAGAAAAGTTGCATAGCAATCGAAATCTGCGTACCTATTATTTTTTCCATTAGCAGATAATCTAGTAATGTTCATCATAACACCTGCACATAAGGCATGCAAAACTGTAAAGATGATCAAACTCAAAGGGTGTTATTATCACAAGTAATATCATATTCCTTCCAATTTTGCCCAAGGCAACATGATCTTATACTCTTAAGCAAACCTGAAGGAGACACCTAACCATGAGGTAGTTCCCATTGCGAAAAATCCTCCACTGTAAAATCCCAGATTATCTCATAGTTTCCATCTTCTGATTCATTCCTATCTTAAGTCTTTGTCCCATGATTCTTGCACAAAACCTAATTGGATCTCACATTTACGGCACAGCTAAGTGTTTCAAAGGAGTAAATTGTCTATATCTATATTGATAACATAATCACTTCTTAAATGTGTCATCAAATCCAATAAGATGCACTTTATAGTGATAATAGATGGAGACTGTCAGTTAAGCACAAGACCGAAATCAGTGAATTAGAAACGTGAATTAAACAACAAAAGCATCAGCAAGAGAATACCTCCCTAATCATAAAAGACCTCTATGTTTGTGTCTTCTGCTATAAAACTAAGTCATTAAATCAAAAATTCAAGCGACTTTTTTTTTGATAAGGAATTCAGGCCTCGTTAAAAACCCTCTTCATGATTAATGGAGCTTGTAGTGAAGCTCCTTAATCAACGGAAGGAGGAAAAGAGTGCCTTAGGATTTTATTCAACATAAGAAGTTACATAAGGTACATCTAGAAAACCTCAAACAGAACCCTAGGAACAGAAAATAAACCTAAACAACAACATAAATTCAGCCTATTCCTTCTTTAGCTAAGGCATCAGCCTCTAGATTGGTTGTCCTATTAACCCATCTAATAACACCTTCAAATACATTAAGTCTATGAACAATGTCTTTAATAATATAAGCATAAACATCAGGACATAATTCAACCTCCCTAACCCAATACACTGCCACCTTGCTGTCACTTTCAATAATCAAACGCTCCTTGATCCGCTCTCGAAAAGAAGTGTAGAATAACAAACCCCTTTGAATAGCTTTTAGCAACATAAATGTCGGAGGCCCCGAACCAACAAAATCCTTGAAAGAACCTAAAATAAATCCTGAAGAATCCTTCAAAACTCCTAACCCACTTTTCTTCCAATCTCTTGTAGTAGCAGCATCAACATTAAGTTTAACAAACCCCAATGGAGGAGGAGACAAAAGGAAAAATAGAAACAATCTGATTAGAATGGAAAGAACAAGAGTCCCCTATAGAAGGATCTGAAATAAGAGTCCTTATGAATAGAAACCTCATTATTCTTAGCAAGGAACCAAGACGCAAGCCTACATCTTGCTAAGAAAAAGAATTCTGCCATATCTAACTTCCCCCCTTCAAACACAATTAAATTCCTGATTTTCCAAGTAGTCCAAATAACGGCCCCTGGAATAAAAGACCATATTAGAGAATTAGACTTCAAAACATCCCAAGCTAGAAGAAAACTTTTAGCATTGCCATGAAAGGCAATCTTAATCTTCCAAAAATTCATAAATCTGTTCTAAATAGCCCACACCACCGAACAAGAGAAAAACAAATGCGAGGGAGTCTCATCCTCCATCTTGCAAAGAGGACATAACACATCTTCGATTCCTTGAATACCTCTTTTAATAAGTTGTGTCTTAACAGCCAGTTTCCCTAGAACAACCTGCCACATAAAGGACTCTACCCTAGGAGGTAACTGACTCCTCCAAATGATCTTCTTCCAAAAAAAGACCTCCTCCGATCCCAAAGATTCTGATGAACAAATATTAACACCTGATTTAACCGTGTACACTCCATCCCCATTACCTTTCCAAATCATCCCGTCAGAAGTTTCCCAAGAAAAGGAGAAAGTCGAAATAACAACCATAAAATTCGACCACTGCTCTAATTCCCAGTCGTTTAAGTTCCTTCGAAACTGCACATCCCAAATCCAGCCTGCTGAGCTATAATCCCCAAATTCAGATAACTTACCCATCTTGTTTGTTGACATAGCAAACAGTCTAGGAAAAATGATCAAAAGGGGATAATCCATTGCCCAAATGTCCTGCCAGAACTGAATAAAAATGCCATCTCCAACTAGGAAAGTATACATGCTTCTAAACTTTGAGCCTACATTGTCATCTTTGAAATGATTCAATACCACCGATTTCCAAATCCAAGAAACTTTCTGTGGTATCTTATTGTCAAACATTAACAAAGAAGAATCCATCTTATATTTAGAACAAATAAATTCCCTCCAAACAGCCTCCCTTTCATTGGCAAACCTCCATGACTATTTCTCTAAAAGTGCTCTATTCATCAAATTAAGATTCAAAACACCTAGGCCCACCTCAAACTTTGATTTGCACACATTATGCCAACTAACCCAATGAATCTTACTTTTTTTCATTACCCCCTCCCCATAAGAAATTTGACATTATAGAGTTGAGGTTTTTGAGAACCGAAGAAGGAAGCTTAAACAATGATAGGTAATATGTTGGAAGCGAACACAGAACCGACCTGATCAAAACCACTGGATTCAAGTGACTTTATGACTAACTAAACTCTTAAGAACCTCAGGGCAGCAATCATTAATAATATTTGATTTCCACTTCCCCACCATTTTAGATATCTTTGTACACAGAACCTCTAGTTTCAAACATTTTTTACTGCCTCAAATGGTTTCTTTCCATATTTAGGGTTTTATTCAACAAAATTGTTCATCCTCGATATGGTTATTATATGACTCACAGAAAAATCAAAAATTCAAGTTATGGAGCTTAGAGAAACAATTATTGAATGTTTAAGCTATGATCTTACAGGGGTTCAAGTGTACTATTTTCTTTCAATCAAAAACAATGTACTGCTGGCAGTATAAACTATCAGAAAAATACAAAGGGCTAGTAAGACAAATTCCTACAACCTTCCATGCTAAAGTTTTAATTTCGTAATACAAGCATTGATGGAGCCTAAATAATTTTCAGATGAAATGATGGAGAAGAAAACTATAAAAACAAGACAATAAGCTAAGCAGCAGGAAAGGATGGCAAACAGGAATATGAAAAATTATATTTCACAAATAATTCATATACAATGCTTATATCATTGGAACTTTAACTGTATAATAAGCAGACATTTTCTACGACTACCTTTGATCAAAATGAAAATAAGATAGAGCACTCACAGGGTTCTCAACTAAGGGTAGGAAGAAAAGGAAACTAGTATTAAAATGATGACACGAGAAGCAGAAAGATGATACCTTATTTTGTGGTTAATTTTGAAGAGAATTAAGTTTTTAATTAGAGGCCAGATTTCACTTAAAATCAAATATGAGGACAAGGAACTATATTGAAAGCTATCGGAAAAAAGAAAACAAGGTGCTCTTATTCCTTGTTACCAAATTTCTTTGCAATGATAGGACGGACGTCATCAACATCAACCAGAGTCTCTAAGAAGGGAAGCAATGAAATCAGTGCACAATCGGATGGATCATCAAACCAACTCTTGATAGGAATCCCATTATTCACTTGCAACCTGAAAACCTGAAATCAGCAAAGAAGAATTCTTCAGCAATTAGAAGTATAAACATGGGGAAATTGTTCTTTTGCATTTTTCATTAATACTTCTAGATACCCCACCCTTTTACTATTTAATTTGATAGTAGCGAATGCATTTGATTCTGCTACTAGAAAAATAACCTCTTATCGTTTCTAGGCAATATTAGGGAGCAGGGCATGAGTCCTCGCAACTAATCTTACTGTAAATCTTGGTTAGTTGGATGATTCTTAGATGAACTTTATGCTTTTCATAAACACAAGATGCACCTCCAGATCTGAATATTTTTAATGACTAAGACAATCACTATAGAACCAGTTCACATCGACATAATCATTGCCTTGGTAATACAATCTCTGAAGCACATTAGGTTTAGGCTAGGGTGACAATTATATTCTTGACTTAATTTGGAGGCTAAAGTCCATGAAGGTAAACCATAAGTGAGTGGGTAAATACCTGTGGAGAATTATCAACTATAGCAACCTTTGCAAGATCAACACCTAAAACTGTCAAGTCTTTAGTGTAACTTCCATCTGAAAAAATGCAAGATTCACGATAAACCTGCCGAGATATGAACTTTTGATCTGGATCCAATAAGTCCAGTAATTGTTCAGCATAAATGCTTTGGCTGGCTGTAAAAATGATAACTTCAAACATCTCTGCAACTTTCTCCAAAAATGTCTGCAGGTGAGGCCTCTTCTTTACATAAACAGTTTGCTCTTTCATATTGAAAAAGACTGTAAAGGTGAAGTCAGCATCATCACAATGTTCTAGTGTAGAGTGGACAAGAGTTTCTGCGTGTTTCGAAGAAATGGTGATCAAACAATATAGGTTTAAAACACCAAGTAAAGCAGAAAACAAACAAAAGCTCAAATAATTCTACACAAATTGTAAAAGGCCAACGGAGCAACCAGAACACAAATGCCATCTGAAATTATTCGATATGTGAAGTCATACTGACAGGCATGCAATCAACTTATACCCAGAAAATTTCCTTGCAAGCCTTCAATATTGACCTCACTAACAGAATAAATTTCGCATGCATGGTGATTAGGAAACACACAAAATTTTCCAGAGACTAGCGGCTTACCCTGAATTGTTTATGGAACTTGAGATAATAAGTTCCCAAAAGGTTCCACCAGGTTATCTATAATCAGTACTATCCAAAATCTTGTATTGCCTTCATAGTACATTAGACTCTAAGATATAGGTTTCATTTAAAGACTTGAATCAATTTGTTTGATACTCCATTTAAAAGATCACGAGAATTAATTAGTTCATTTGAAAATGTTTAGGCAGCAGTAAAGGTGAATGAATGACGTATTGCTCCAGAAGAAATAAAAACACACAGTAGAAAACATGCAAGTCTTACCATCCAAATCAAGCACAAGAGTTATGGGCTTCCTTTTCCAAGCCTCCATTGGAACATCAGCAGGCCGGAAGCTTGATACAACATCAGATAGCTCTGGTAAAATTTTTATAAATGATTGTGGATCAAAGTCATCTGCTTGATCAGATTCAGAGTTAACATCGGATTCCTGTATGCAGGATCTCATTTCATCAATTGCTAGACGTAAACCAGTATTATCTTGAGCCATCATAGACTCATCATTCAATTGAACATCATTTATATAATTGGTGTTGATAGTGTCTTCAAGGAAAGGCAGTATCAAGTATTGCTCAGCCACATCAAACAGCATACTTGGCTCAGAACACTTGAAATCAGGAAAAGAATAGGTTCCCGAGATGTTATTGTCAATCACATTTCCATCAAAGGGTATGTTTGCAATAATCATGTCAGATATAAAGAAATCTGACAAATTACATGTCTGTCTGCCAAATAAGCTTCGATTGTCATCACCGTCATCGGATACAAATGCTAGCGGTTCAGGGACATCGTGACTCCCTACAAAAACTTCTGATGACGTGAATCTAGAATGTCTGAATTCCATAAAAATCCTTCCTTCTACTCAGGCATTGGAACAACTAAGTTCCAAGATAACATGAATACTTTTAACTTAATAATTGTGCTTAGACAGGGATTTCAATTAGAAATGCAAAAATACTGTCATTTTCTTGGTCACAACTGGAGAATGGAAAAGAAATTCATGTAAACCAGCTGAAACAACGAATCACCTGCATCATTGTCAATATTTAATTCACTGTGTATTTGGAATGGCTCCAGAAAAGGAGAGAATATAGTCTCTAAGTTTGAGACAGATGTGTGGGCAGACTCCTGCACATTAATAAATCATAAGAAGTAAGCAACCAAGTTGAGAGTCAGTTTAATACATGATATTTTCAAAAAGCAGTGTAAAAACGAAATAACAAAAGGGTCCTAGAAAGTAATAAAAGCTTACCATTCCCCCCACAGTTGCAGAATTAACAAAAGTTGGAAGCTGTTTCTGAAGCCCAGAATCGTCTCCATCCAAAATTAGTTGCTGGGCACTGGCTCCATCAGTTTCAAAAACTTGAGAGGCTACTTCCACATTTGATGAATCTATCAAGAACAGTCGGTAAGCACGTGCAACAAGCTAAAATATCAACATAATTTATATTCCTTCTTAACTCTTTTAAGAAAGGAACAAGTTAAAGCCTACAAACAGAAAGCCTATCATGCATGTGTATAAGTAAAGAAATGAACGAGAGAAAACCAACACACACTAATGCCTACAAACAGAAAGCCTATCATGCATGCATAAAAGTACAAAAATGAACTAGAGAAAACCAATACACTAATGCCCACAAACAGAAAGCCTATCATGCATGCATATATGTAAACAATGAATTGAGAGAATAGCAGTACATTCTTATACTTGGAAGAACCACAGAGAGAATGGACCGATGGGTTTAAGGGCAAGGAATACATAAATGAGATCCTAACTCCCCATTATCAGTAAATATTTAGTAAATAAATTAATACTTTATCCTCCAAGTGGTTCAAAATGATATACGTACTCGGTCATTTGTTTTCCCTGCTGCAGTCAGCTATAGTTTGATGCTAATTTTACTGCATCTTAGACATCTAAATATGGGATAAGGCCCCACGGTTCCAATTTATTTATTGCAATTTTTAAAACTACAATTATACTCAACACATATGTAGTTAAGTAAAATATTTTTGCAAAATGCATCATTTCTCAAATGGAAGGAGACTTGCAATAAGTCACAGGCCAGGCAAGGCAAAGCAAGGGTCTTGTTCACACTTGAGCAGACTAAAGAAATGTTTTGAAATCGCTAATTTTATCGCACTCAATGTACAGAGCACATAATGTAAAGGTATAAGCAAACAGCGAAAAAAAATTGAACCCTGATAAGAGGAAACTCCAAGAAACACCTGTAACTCCAAGAAACACCGATGGGTTTAAGGGCAAGGAATACATAAATGAGATCCTAGCTTCCCATTATCAGTAAATATTTAGTAAATAAATTAATACTTCATCCTCCAAGTGGTTCAAAATGACATACGTACTCTGTCATTTGTTTTCCCTGCTACAGTCAGCTATAGTTTGATGCTAGTTTTACTGCATCTTTGACATCTAAATATGAGATAAGGCCCCACGGTTCCAATTTATTTATTGCAATTTTTAAAACTACAATTATACTCAACACATATGTAACTAAGTAAAATATTTTTGCAAAATGGTTCCAATTTATTTATTGCAATTTTTAAAA